ATACCACAATCAATTCTATTTCATGATACAGGTGCACCTGAAGCCCAAGAACCAACCTTGACCAACGCAAAGATCATGGCGTATACGGCCCTAGAGGTTCTATATAGAGGGGAAGACATCATGAAACAAATTAGAGAAGATTTTAAAGGAGATATGAAAATATACAAAGAATGAATATATATCTACATAGACGATAACAGTTTATATACTGTACATATCGATTGTCTTTATCAAAGTTAATATATGTACAGTTTGATTGGTGCCACAATAGTGCTGAAGGCTCAGTCAATATTGCTTTGAAAACGGTCTTTATATATCACATAATTAAGTGCTTAATGATGAACGTTGTTTATAATAATTAAATGTATGATGAGTTATCAGTTAAAATGTTTGCTCTTGGGTCTTGGTCCTATTATACGACCACGGTGTATAACATTCACATTAGAGACGTTTAGTTTAAAATGTCACTGATGTTTTACGCTAAACTTGGACGTCATCAGTGTGTGTGTACACTGAAAGTATTGTGTGTGTTCAATGATAGTATCTCATATTGACTGAAAGTTTATTTTGAAAACAAATATCGCAAAGTGTATATTGTTAACACTCGAAAAACGTTTTCTTACCAACCCTGACTATGTTCTTAAATGAATGCAATGAATTCACAGAAAAAGTTAAATTAACCATTAATAATTTAGCAATCAAAAATAGCTAAAATTCTGCAAACGCTGCACCCATCACAACTCTTCACCTGACCCAACCATTTGTACACTTTGGCAATAGTTAAAAAAAAAGAATATTGAATACAATAATATGCACTCAAAGGGTGAATTACCCAAAATAAACGTATGGCCTGAATAATGATTCACAAGAGTGGTCATAAGCAAGTATAATAAATATCACTATTTACATGATGTATGAATTCTATACACATGAACAATGCAATTGATCAACATGCAGGTAACAAATATCACGGAAATCAACAATTTAAAACAATAGTGAAACAAAATGATGATTCAGACAATATCAGAGTATTATATCAGGCCAATAATTAGTGAACATGTACATTATTCCCAGGAAATAACACTTTAGTTCTTAGATTAGTTCTAATATGCGGAGGATTAGTTTTAAATATAGAAACAGTTCATTTTACATCGCACATTGTTTCATTGTGTACATTTTCAACATAACATGAGGTATTCTCCCGTCGGACATATTTACTGTCGTTTCATTTTATGTTGTCCCATCAAACGTGTGTGCCTAATATTACAAGAACCCACTTACAGAATAAAATCATCCATAACTGTTCCCGAACACAAACACAATTGATTATATATTAAATGATATCTATATTTATAATTCCCATGTGAAGTTACATAGCAATGTTTTTTCATAATTTATTTAATTTACCAAACTATAGTAACACAATGTTTGGAAAAACAAATGCAAAACACGATAAGAACCAACGATTTAGTCTACACTCTTTTGCTTGAAATTGAAAATTAAATGTAGTTGTCGCACCTACAGTATATAGAAATATTCACATTACGAGAGTTGAAACTCGTGCTGAAGGTAAAGTAAGGAAGCGTATCAGGCCGCTGCAAAAAGACATAATGTACGCCCTGTGATTGGTTCGCATAATAATCCCAGATCAAAGTACTAAGGCACAAGACTGAAAATATATTCAGATAAGAGAAACACGTCAACAAGGACCAGCAAAATTCCACGCATCTGACCAAATACGGACTGAGTAGCGTTCAAGGGAATTCTCCGAATGAATTGTTTATGTGCCTGACGAACACACTGATACTGAAACACTCTCCAAGAATAAATCTCTGTCTCATTGAACTTTGATAGACCGTGAGTACTTTGCTGTGAGTATCAACAGGCTTCAATTATTCATATATCCCAAGCATTTCAGCTGACATCTGTTATTCTTTCCAGTGTGGTATTGTAATTATTGTCTTGCTAGTGTGTATTGCATCTGGGTGTTATAACATATATATATATATATATTATTGAAACCAAGCAAAACCATAGAAATTATGTGGATATAGTCTTTATAATCAAGGGAATATGGTCTGTGGGCACTCTGCCGTGTGTGTATGGCCATTGTTGCTACTGGTTAGAGCTTTGTTTGAGCACAGGTACCTCGGTATGTGTATCCGTGTGTCAGGACAATTCCGCTATAGCTATAACCATTAGTCGATTTGTGAAGCTTATACCAACAATGCTTACTGTGTGTTGCCACATCATGTAGTGTTGGTGAAATTAGTGTTGAGAGATTGTTGAACATTTATTCGAGCAATACTACCAGATATTGTGATATTTGTAGTTCCAGATTTCTGTCTATTTTGCTAAACATTTTCTTTTACCTGCTGAAATTAAAACACCAACCCGCAAATCAGTTATATTGTACACTCTCATTAGTGGGCTCCTAGAGCTATCTAGCTGTACACCAACTGCATATTATGATAACGATATACGGGAACATGATTGGACAGTGTGCTGATGTATGTACATCAGAACCAAGGTTTTTTCTCAGGTGATCCTTGTCAAAAGGGGGAGTTTGACTATGTTGTATGAGGCACACACCAATGACGAACCTTTGAATGAGATTAGGGAAGCCAAACAAAAAGTGAGGTTGCAATTGTAGCCTTCACCAAGCCACTGTATGTAATTGGTACTAATGTATGATTGCTATCCAGCGATGGTGTGCAGGCTGGTGCATATGATGGTACACATAAAAGTGGTATAGTGTCACATCTTGACCATTTCAAGGCATTGCAAAATGCATTAATTCCACTTGTGAACCGTGTGAAGCAATTGTTTGGGCCAGGCGACAGTTGTCACTGTTGTCTCTCCCGATTTTTTTTTGGTATGTGCAAATTGCAAGTGCTAGTGCTGACACATTTTGCCACAGAAGTCATGTTTGAGCTGTGCGGCCATCTCTATATCAAATGGCAACCATACTCGGTCGAACAGTAGCACCTGCAGACCTTAACCAAGGTTCCCCGAAAGTCGCATTCGTTAGTGAATTAATCTCGGCCTGTAGAATTGGCTAACCCATTCACGAATCTGATGCGACGACCACTAAGCTATCAGTGACCGGTCTGCTAAAAATAATATATTCCCGGGGTTCAACTAATAACAAATACCAATAAATAAATCATAGCCTAGTGAGAGTTCATATGACCAGAAGAATCAAATAGTGCTTCAAAGCGATAATATTTCTAATATACAGAATTAGAAAAATAAAATGTATTCGTTTATTGTGTACAAGAGGTCACACATCCGGGATTGTGTTTACTGTTGAATGCCCACATTTTCTGACTTCTACTGGCACGATCAATAAAAATACACGGATTATTTAGCGGCGTCGAATATAGCCTACCAGACCTTTGAAGAAGAAGCATACTCTAGATTCAGATGCGCCTATAAGGTATCTATTTTGCACGTTGTCACAGTTATTAATTTGTAACTAATTATATAAGTAACCTGAAAAATAAGACATATATTGTGGCAACTTTTGTGTATATGAATGAATATTGATTTTTTTTTTGGAATAATTTAGGAACCAGGATTAACATTCGTCGCACACAAATTGATACAGTAATTATTTGCTTTCTCCCCTTTCGTAATTTAAAATTTTTTGGAAGCCGTTGAAGGTAGTGGTATATTTTGTTCATTCTGGTACTGGATTGTGTGCGAGACCTAAGGGCATTGTTTTATTTAGGCAAATAAACATAATTTGTAGGTTTCATAAACCCCGTAACTGGTTGGTGGATTGTGATGTTAATTGGTGTTAATTATGCATTAAAAGTTCGAATTATTAGACGTTGGTGGTAGTGTTATACCACGGTTGAGTTCGAGATGAATTTATTATGTCTCATTCAATTCTAAAATGACAAATAAATATAGAATCATAAACATACATGTACATGACTGACTTGAAAGACAAACTTCAAATTCATAACAAATACAAATGACGATGAACTTCAGTTAAATAATAATTACATAATAATTACTTCCTTAATAAATACAGTTTTCATTTATAAACACACTTCACTCAAAATCGGATCCTACATATGAAATTGAAATGAAATTTACTACTTTGCCGTGTATAAACACAATTCCGGTTAGCCAGTTACAGTTCAGAAAGCATTCATATACATCGTCGTATCGAAATAATAAATGACATTATTTAATGCAAAATCATACAATAGAAATACACTACATAAACAATTAAAATCAAAATACACATCATGGAACAATAATTTTCTGACCACTTAAAATCCTAGTTGAAATCTTAATAACAATTCAGAACAAAATGAAACTATTAATTCAGACCACCGTCAGTGTACTACGTATACATGAGATCATGTGCAAATCAGCATGAGGTCAACAATTCACTCAAATACGCAAATCTAACAGTGATATTTCATAATCAAACTCTTCCATCATAAAATATCATATCATAATCTAGATCACATGGATTAATGTTTTTCAAACTCAAATGCTTGATAACTAAAATGCCGCAGCGGTCAAAATGGCCGCCTCTACATTGAAACCCATGTTCAAAATCAATCTGGCTATTATAC